CCCCAAAACCCCAAAACCCCAAAACCCCAAAACCCCTTGTACAAGATTCATGGTTGAAATCTACAGACGAAGCGACTTCTTTTTAACCTTCCTGGGTTTTGTCAATCTTATCCCCTTTATCATTTTTATCAGCTCTTTGTCTTTATGGCACAGCTTTCTAAGCGTGGCTTTCCTACTACTTCCCAAGTACGCTTTGCGTAACTTTCTTGTGTTATTTTCTTCGAGATTTTAGTATCAGCTTATTTTTATCATTTTTATATCTTTTTGAACTTTTGAGAGCAGTTTTAGGCCTAAATTTAATAACTGAATTCTTACCTGTTTCTTTTAGATGGCAGAATCACAAGCCGGGTTCTAGGAAGTTCCGCTTGGGAAGGATTGGTCACTAGGTCTTCATTCCTACCAAGAGTCTTTACTTCATCCCTTTTAGTTATTCCCTCTTCTTCTGGTTGCTTGAGGTACTCTTGAAAATGGTCGATTCCGTTGCTAAATTTTCTTTCTGAGTTATTCGTGAATTTTTGGATGCTGGTTTTCTGTACACTTTTGGCTTGTTCTCTTGTTCAACTTTTGAGACTTTGTTTGATATCCATGCTAAGGCCTTTCCCATATTTATTTCATAAACTTATGTTCTTCGACTGGAAACTTTCAGTTGAATAGCCCAGAGCATTATTTTGTTGGGAGTCTAGACGGGAAATGATTAAAATGATGGGATAATTATGGTGAAGTTTGGAACTATGATTGGCTCTCTAAAGCAACTCTAATTTCTCTAAGTTCAATGGAACTTACTGACAGAGTTATTTACCGAACTGATGACTCTGGAATAGTCTTCTATAAGACAGATTGGAGTCTATAGTTAAGCTTGATGATTACATTTTTTGAAATTCTTGTAAGCAGAGTCTTTGGAGTTAAATACTTGAAAAATTGAATTTGATTTTCTTCTTCTCCGGCTCCTTCGGGATTTATTTGCTTTTGAGTTTACGCTTTGGTTTCAGGGTTGTGACATTTGAACGAAGGTTTTGGGTTAGAGGAGTGTAGAGTCCTAAGTTGTTATATATTTAGCTTCACTATTTGGATATTTCTTGGCTTCAACGACTGTACAAGTGTTTAAACTATTCTGGTTTTCATTATTAGAAGGATCAAATTCATTCCCTTTCTTGTATTGATCAGTTACATCTATGACGCTCATCACATAACTTACCATTAATGAGACTCATAATTTCCTTAGTATGCTTACTAGTGATCACACTCTTGATTTCAATACTTTTTCTTGAAGTTGTTCCTTCTTTCTGACTTGATCGATCAGATTTGAAGCTCTCCATCTGATTTTCTAAGATAATTAACACTTAAAATCACCTTGTAAAATGCTTTTCTTCAGAGCTTTTAAATTTTCATCTGTGATAACGCTGGGTTCAACTATAAAAAGTAATGTATCGAGTTCTTTAGTGAGGTAGCCTCCTCCGAAACCCTTTTGTACTCTTTGAGTTCTCAAATCTCTCTTTGACTGAAGTTTTTGGACCTAAAGTTCCTAAACCTGTTGAAAGACTCATGGCCATTTTAAATTTTCAATTAAATTTTTAAAAATTGGGGTTTTGGGGTTTTGGGGTTTTGGGGTTTTGGGG